GATTTCTCTTGGTTTCACTATGAACAATGCAATTCACACCCTGTGGTATCAGTATATTACATAATGCAAATGCAGTAAATTCAAACAGGAATTAAGTAACATTTTTTTTAAACTATGATGAAATTTGAAAAACCTGCATTAGGAAATATCAAAACCCCCTGAGATAGGCACAGAACTATATATATTCAATTAACACAATAGAAAGGTGGGTACACTTGGCTTTCTGTATTAATGAATAATGCTAAAGCTATCTTCAGGTGAAAAGCAATGCTTTTGCTAATATTTGAGTCAACCTCCTACTGGGAAGCAGCAATACACCTCACCTGAACATAAAAACATGTAAGGACATAGAAACAAAAAACCTTCTACCCTGCTGCTGTATGCACTAATGAAGGCCTGGAGCATTTTACAATGACCCTTTATATTCCATTCTAATTTTTACTTTCAGGCCACTTAACTGCTTAGGAAAAGTGAGATTACCTTCTTCTGCTTGAATAAAAATAAGTAACTATTTCTTCTCTAGTATTATTCATTTTTACTTGCACACGTTTTACTTAAAATATTACAATGCATACTTTAACCTGAAGCCAGGACATTACATCAAGAATAAAAATCATTCTACACATGCTCAATGCACAGTCATGCTACAGAGGCAGTTGACCCTGCTGGTAACAACAAGGCAAGATATACCATGTTCCTATTTTTCAAAACAACAAAGCTGAGGTTCAAATTAATCACTAGATACCATTCAACACCTTGCAGAAAGGCTACAGTTGAGTTTCTAATCAACTAGCTGGCTTTTAATTTTAATTAAATATCATCACATTATAGAAAACTACAACATAAGCTGATGTTTTTCCCTGTGTTGTATAAAAGCTAGTAGATATGCAGTACAAAGATGCTCAATAACATCACCTACTAGAGTCTGGTCAACCAGAGAGTTAACAGGAAGAAAACACTAGCCAAAGCTTCCCACTACACCTGACCACTGCCACACTTTCTACCTGAGAACCACTCCACCTGCTGGTTAACTCCTGACTGTCTCCAAAAAGCCCATTTCCTGTCTTTCTTCAGGCAAATTGGGTAGTAAATCTTAACTAATCAGGTAGCCTTCCTAATCCAGCTGGAAGAAGTTAAAACAATGAAAATGCCACAAGCCTTAAGCAAACACCATCAATCTGTGAAATGAAATTTCAAAATTTTCCTTCTCTATTATACTTTGGAACTCAATTAAGAGTTAATGTGGTTGTTGAACTCTCATAAGTGGTCGACCTTATTTATGTCACACAATAGTATTCTGTTATACAAATATTCTTATCACCAAAAAGTCTCAGAAGAATCCATTGTTTTGCAGTTCTATTATGTACAGCTGTGCAAAGCACAAGTTTTCTCTTACTCACAGTAACAATTAGCAAATCTCATCTACTTACTGACAACCTCCATAAAGCCAGGCTGGTTGGTCTGACAAAGACTGAACTGACAAAGAATTTAACAGTAGTGCAGGTGACTCATGCACTGAAAATTGTTGAAAATACTATTTTTAATTGATTTGGGAAACCAACACTGATGAGAAGGCTTTCTTGTCTGGCTATCTGTATGGCTCTACACTGGTACTCCAGGAAAGCAGACAAGGTTTGTTCAAACAATTTTTGAAGGCTCAAATATCTTCTGTTGACTTCCTGCAGTTATTGATCAGCTCCCAGGATCTGATTGCAATACCCTTGCCCCAGGGCTGTGCACACACTACTCATTTTGGAGTTATTCCTGAAGCAAGATAAGACACAGTCTAAATACTGAGAAGATAAGATGCCAAAACAGATCTGTCATGAAGACAAGAGTATCTTCAGCTCACCTGAGGCAAATAACAAATAAGCATATTCCTTGGCATCTGCAAGCACCTGCAGACTCAGACGGAAAGCACTTGAGACTCAAAAAAAAAAAAAGCCAACAGTGACATGGAAAAAGAAACAAGCAGAAATTTAATTGCCATCCTAATTAAAAGCATGGTCTAATGCTTAATTCGAGAATAGCTTATACATTCACTGTATAAGAAAACTGGATGTAATTCTGGACAAGTTCATTTATATAGATGCTAACAATACACTTTTTTACTAAGTATGAGATAAAGTACTGCAAAACAAGGAAAACTCATGGAAGCAAGAGAAGCTGATCTTTTAGATATTTATCCAATTAGGGGGAAAAAAAGCACAAATTTCCTACTATAACCAGTTTTTTACTTTTTTTCAGAAATTATCCTTGAGTGTTATCCCAACTTTTTTTAAATCTGATAAAAATAAAATGCTAGAAGTAGCCAGAGATCATCATGCTGGTGAGGGACCATGTGGTAATTTGTGTTACCAAAGCATCTAACACACCTATCAACAACTTCTTCCACTGCTTCCATTTTCACCTACTTGATAATGTTTTGTAATGAAAATTAAACATGCCAGTCTAGCAGTGAATTAAGTCCAACATCTTTTAAAACAAGCTATTAGCCAGAATAAGTAAATTTGTAAGCAGGAAAACAAGTATTAAAGAAGCTGACAGGTTTTCCTCAAGATTACACTCAAGAGCACATATATGATTTGCTGTTTCAGTGACGCCTCAAAAACGCTAAGGGAAACTGATTTTGGACCATTTTTATTTGAGGTTAAAATATATAGATGTATAAACACTTACTACCCTTCTATTCCCAAAGCTGCAATAGCCTAAAAAATACATCTGCAATAAAACAACTTTTCTAGCATTTTACTTTACATCCGATTCTTTACAAGAGAAAAAAAAAAAAAAAAAAAGAGGACTTACCAGTTTAATATCAACAATTGTTGCACCAGCATCCAAGGAATTTTCTATTAGCTCCTTCACCACACTGGCAACTGATGTAATCACCTGAGAACTTGAAAGGAGACGAACTGTTTCTGCTGGTAGTTGTTTCATAGTGGAGTAAGATGCAGAGAAGCTGCATAAAAAGAGAACAGAAAAAGAATGTAAAAAGCACATTACAAATACACATTTCTAAGCAATCGTTTTACAGCAACTATGACAGGTGGTTGTGATCTTGCAATTACAACTGACAAGACAGATCACCCCTCAGCATCAAGTCTAATTCCAGCACTGATTCAAAAAAACGCAAACAAAACCAATAGAGCTTTTGAAACTTTCAGTATTTTTTCCCCCTACAAATTCCTTGCATTGTTTTTTCCCCTACATTAAAAATTTTTTAACTCAGTACTGCTGTGTTGTGTGTATGATTCCCATTACCCAAAAATTCATGGAAATAGTATGAACTGAAGGTAACTGTTTTGCAAAGAAGTGAGGAAGAAGCAAAGGTGCTGAGTCAAAAGTCAAATCCAGTGGTAATGTGATCTACTGGCAATAATGAAAAACAAAAAAACTTCTGAATTACAACCTTGCTCTACTTATCTGACTTACCATGAGCCCTCACACAGGTCAGTTTATTTCTCTGTCTCTTTATCTTCCACTTGGAAATGAATATTATAATCTAGTGGAATATTTTTATTTTTTTTACCTCACTGAAAACACAAAGAATTAGCCAAGCTCCAGGAAAAATCTTTGTTGATCCTTGTAGCCTGACACAGGACTCAACCACAGGTTTTCATGCATATGAGATTCAGGGGTTTGCACCTGAAAAATGGTTCAGACTTGGGCTGCTCTCTGTCCTACAAGGAAGGCTTCTTTCCTGTGCAGCAGCAGTCTTTATTGGGTTATGTTATATAATGTTATTGACATCGAAAGGCAAACAATCCTGGCAGTCCCAGTTGCCCCACCAGTTCAGTCCAAGCTATCTGCTGGAGAACACAGAGCACGTGCCCAGAACCTGTCCTAAGGATATGAACACATGTGGAGGAATGGAGCAAACCCAGCTTTGCTCCTGACAGATTCAGGACACAGCAACGGACTGCAGCCAACACCCCAGAGCAGCACTCTCCTGCATGGTACATGCAGTGACATAACAATTACAGGACCTTCCTCTGTCTTGATATCCTTTAGAAAAGACTGCCACTCTTGAAACATAAAAGACTAAGAAAAAACAGGGTTGCTTGGGGGGGGAAAGATATATTATTTTGAACAGGAAGCAGAATTAAAACTTCTGAAAGCAATTACAGAAAGGTTTCCTCTTAACACCTTTATTTATATTCCAAAGGCAGTTTTTGCCTTTAAGATGTGGCAAAATGATCTGACAAATCAGGTTTCCAACAAACAAACTGGTAAAAAGGAGCACAGACAGATGCATGTTGTTGAAGACAGACCAGTATTGCTCATGTGCATGCATTGATAGGATCACAGAATAGGTTGGGTTGGAAGTGACCTTAAAGATCACACAGTCCAGCCCCCCTGACGTGGGCAGGGACACCTTCCACTAGACCAGGCTGCTCAAACCCCATCCAACCTGGCCTTGAACACTTCCAGGAAAGGGGCATCCACAGCTTCCCTGGGCAACCTGTGCCAGTGTCTCACCACCTTCACAGGAAAGATTTTCTTCTCAACACCTCATCTAAATCTCTGTTCTTTCAGTTTTAAACCATTCCCATTCATTCTATTGCTACAAGCCCTTAAAAAAGTCCCTCCTCAACTTCCTTATAGGCCCTCTTCAGGTATTGGAAGGCTGTTGAGGTCTCCCTAGAGTGTTCTCTTCTCCAACCCCAACTTCCTCAGCCTGTGTTCAAAAGGGAGGTGCTCTAGCCCTCTGATCATCTTTGTGGCCTTCTTCTGGACCCATTTCAACAGCTCCATGTCCTTCTTTTGAGGACTCCAGAGCTGGATGCAGTACTGCAGGTGGGGTCTCTCAAGAATGGAGTAGAGAGGGAGAATCACTGGCCTTGACCTGCTGGTCACACTTGATATAGCTCAGGACACAGCTGGCTTTCTGGGCTGCAAGTGCACATTGCTGGCTCATGCTGAGCTTCTCATCAACAAACAACTTCAAGTTCCTCTCTTCAAGGCTGCTGTCAATCCATTCTCCACCCAGCCTGCATTCAGAGAGGCAGGTTTCCTCATGCACTCATGCATTACACAGGACTCCTGTGTCAGTGCTTCATGATTAGTCAATGACAAGTGCCAGACTGGAGCTGTATATCTTTATCAAAAGACACTGACTAAGACAAGGGAGGGTCTTAAAAAAACTAAACCCTTGCAGATCCCAAAGACAAATTTTCTACCAGGTCCTAACGCAGTCAATCTGGGAGAGGAAGCAGCCCCCGTATGCCTTTCCCTTCCCTGGACTCAAACCACCCCAGGCTGGGCTGCCACTGCTCCCTGGGTCGGAGAGAGAGGATGCCAGGCTGGCCACATCCCAGGGACACCTGCTGGGAGAAGGTGGGATGAATCTCTGGTACCTGTTGCGTACGGAAGGAAATACAACCAACTCCCAATTACTTTTAGTTAAAATATGCATATTTCAGCTCAAGCCACGTTACTACTATGACTCCTTGTCAACCAGACACGTGGAAAGGTGCAGTATTTTCTGTGTTTGAACACTATCACTGACACTCTTCTTTCAACCCCTCTGAGCAAAGCCAGGGACAGGGTCGCTCTGAACAGCAACACTACACGCCATCAGAGAAACCACACACAAAAAAGCTCCTCCAACTTCGCGGCCCGACCCTCACAGATTCCTGGAGCAGCACCCAAACCCCAGCCCCACAGCCGCCTTTCTCAGAACTCCGCCAGAACGCGCGCCCGGGGAATCCTTACGCTGAGGGACGGGGCTGGTGGCAGAGAGGAAAGCTGCAGGCAAAACCTGCGGGCGGTCACACTTGCGTTCACCACACGAACCGGCCCCAACTCCTGGTTCTGCTTTTCATGACGAAAAGCCCGGGGAGCGCCGAGTCCCTGGCCGAGGTAAAGGGAGAGAAGGCAAAGGCAGGCGGGCCGGGAGGGGAAGGAGGCGCGGCTGCTGCCCCGGCCAGCAGGCCTGGCTCCCGGCAGG